CTTTTGGCCAAAATAAACCATTTTGCAAAAATAGCCTAAACCATGTCTTGCATGTGTCTAGTAGGGAATGTTATTGTCTCACATAGTGTTGGTTTAAGATTTCTCATACAGGTGTGGATTTACTTACCGGAATTTGAGCATGACAGATACCCCAAGGCCACTGCATTCAGAAGTTGCTTGAGGAGAATTTTATTTTTATGTCGTCTTTTACTTTCTAGTTTTATACAGTAATGTCAAGTCTTTTGTTATTGTATTTTCTGCTTTATATTTGAAAAATTGTGCTGTAACTCAAAAATCCAAAAAAGGAGATGTTGCATTTTATATTTCCGTTATAAGTTTTCTTTAGAATACTAATTCTAGAAATGAAAAAAATTTGAGGTTGTTTTTCCTTTAGGCAATTAATATCTAGGACTTAAAATGAATTGTTTTTATATTTCCTTTAAGTATATTAGGACCAAAAATTCAAAAAAAAAAGAAGAGAATTTTCCTTTTAGTACCCTTTTTAAAAGTTTTCTTTAAGGTATTAATCTCAAAAATCCAAAAAGATTTTCTTTTGAGGTTCTTCTTTGGGAAATTAATGAAAAATGGAAAAAAAATATTCTTTTATTTTCCCAAGAACTTTAAGACATTGTGCACAGAAGAGAAAAAACATACTTTACCTTTATCTTTAAAGTTTCTTTCTTAGGTAATCAAAAATCGAAATCCAAAAAAAATATTTTTATTTTGTTCATTTCTCGTTTCGAAGTCTTTCTTCAGGGATATCAAATGAAAATTCGAAATATTTTTCTTTGGTTTATTGTTTGGACTTCATTTCAGAAAAAAAAGGAATCAAAAAATATTTTTCTCTTGTAGGATTTTTCCTTAATAATTTCCCATAGTGTATTTGTTTCAAAAAAAAAAGGAAAAAAATATATGTTCGCTAAGCTTGAGTTTAGAATAGGTTATAGAACATTAAGTCTAGAAAATTCAAAAAAAAGGGTTTGCATCTTTTATTTCTCTTTTCTCATCAGAGTAGTCATTAAGGTAAAAAAAAGAAAAAAAAGAACGATAGTTTGTTTGCTTTATTCTCGATCTTCCAGAACTACGTAAAGATCTGATTCATGCGGGGTCATGATACGTAGGCAACCTACATAGGGTTCGATCGAATCATTTTTTTTTATTTATCAAAAGAAAAAAAAGGAGGAAAAATGGGAAAAAGAGAAAAGGAAAGGAAAAAGAGGCAGAATTGTGGGATGTGAGAAATGAGAAGGAAGAAAAAGAGTGATAATTAGAAAGAAAAAGAAGCAAGCTAAGAAGGGTGAGGGAAGCAAAAGAGAGGTTGACATAAACAATTGGGATGATTCCATCTGACCTTTGTACCCTCGAAGTCATTTTTAGAACCGATAACTGTGGCTAGGTGCATTGCACGTAAAGTGAAATTATCTTATGTTAAATGCCCTAACGCTAACGTGATGGTTTCATTTTGTCATATCATTTAAGAAAAGGTGGTTGGTTTTGTGGTTTTTTTTAAAGTAACTCTTCCATACAACACAAAGGCAAAATGCAATGGCAGAGAACAACAGAACTGAGTGGGTTGATACGGGTGCCCAAAAGCAATTTTTTTCACACCCATATGCGAAAGGCTTTGATCCTGCTGTTCGATGCATGTACCACTCTAAAGTCCGGGGGCATGCATTGAAGATTGTCGCTCTTTGAAAAGGGAAATAGAAATAATGATTCAAGAAGGGGTAGTTATGGTCAATGACAATGACAGGGAGCATGTGAATCCTCTTGGGAACTTGTTGATTAAAGTTGATAATGGTCTTGATAGTATTGATGTGAAACTCAGTGGCTAAGATGCCGTGCTTGGTAATTGGGAAGACGCTCCATTTCTTGGTCAGCCGGAGTGTAATTTTGGTGGTTTATTTTGTTGTCATTTCTGTTGTCCGGGTTATTTCAGGGTTGTAATCCGGATATTGTCTTGTGACTCAAACCCTTCTATCCTTTAATTTTGCTTGGTTTGTTTAGTCGTAGTAGCTCGTTTAGTGCTGTCTAGGTTTGTTCCAGGGTTGTAACCCCAGTCTAGTTTGCCTGTCTTGTTGTTCGAACCGTTTCACCGTCTGTCTAATATGATTTCCTGTTTTCTGTTATTTCTAGTCATTTTCTTTTGCTTAGTTCTCTTTTCTTTCGAGTTCTTTTCCTGTTGGCTCTAGTGACATGACATGCATGCATAATTCTCGGCCTGGGCTCAAAAAGTCAGTCATGAAGCACTGAAACAATTTCGAAGACGACAGGGGCACTTGAGGAAATAAGAACAGATTTGGACACTTTGAGATCATTTCGAGCCCGAATTGTGTGAAACCGGGGCAGATAGAACATAAAGAAACCCTATTGAAATGGATCCTGCCGCATCAGGTTGAAGCTAAAGGCAAGTTTACCCCTAATTGGCAGGGGCCGCTCGTGGTAATGATAGTGTTGTCCAATGGTGCTTTTGTAGTTAACAAATGTAGAAGGCGAATGTGTGGATGTGGTTATCAAGTCTGGCACAATCAGAAGATGTTACAAATGTTTTCCTTGGTTTGTTTAATTGTGTTGTTTGTACTTGGCATGTTTTGAAGATTGAAATGACGGAGGCATTTTGTTCTGCTATCTAAACACTTTATCCTTTGTTACCCCTTTGAGCCTTATTTATTTTCTTTCATACCCCTCTTTTGGAATCAGTAGCAAAGTTCAGAAATGCAAGCGCAAAAGATAAGTAAAGGAAAAAGAGAAAGAGAGAAGAAAAAAGAGAAAAAGAGAAAGAAAAGAATGAAAAGAGAAAAAGAGAAGAAAAACAACAAAAAGAACAACAAAAAGAGGAAAAAAGAAAAAAAAAGGGAAAAGAAAGATCACAAACAAACAAAGTAATTCCTATGACCTGAACTACGTTTGACTTGATCCCAAAAGGGTACGTAGGCAGCCTCTCTCTGAGGTTCAGTCACACCGAATAAAAATCCAAGAGTCCCCAAGAAAGAAACTGGGACAGAAGTTGTGGTTGTTGTGGGAAATCTGATTCCGAAAGCTGTAATTTGGAACCCCTGATGAAATTGTTTTGAGCCTTTAATGCCCTTTCTTTCTAACCCTATCCAAAAGCCCACATTACGGTCCAAAGGAAGACCTTCTGATCAGTCTTCGAGAGATGCCAAGTCAAGCGAGTAGAGGTGAATCATATCAGGGGAAACACTCCGATCCAAAGGAAGGAAATGAAGAATGAGAGAGTCTTGTTGATGAGAACCCTCACGGGTACCCCAAGGCGATGAAAGCTGAGAGAAATCAAAATGAGAGAGTCTTATTGGTGAAAACCTTCACGGGCACCATAAGGCGACGGTGAGTTGAGAGAAAGACCAAAACGAGAGAGGCTTGATGGTGAAAACCCTACGGGCACCACAAGTCGAATAAGGATTGAGAATCAGATGGGAAATCACCAGACGAAGATTGTGAAAGACGACAGAGCAGCGAAGCCCAGTTGAAATCAGCATGTTTGTTTACGTAAGAAACGAAGCACTGACAATAGGAAGTGTGGTTTCAGCAGAAGTGGGAGAGTCCCTCACGAAATAACGGTTACAGGAAAGGAAGACAAAGGAGCAAATCGGAAAATGCTTTCCGAAGGCTTGAAAGTTGAATCGAATCGAACCTCTCTCCTACTTATAGGGATAAGTTGCGCAGAAATCGAAGAGTCATGATTCAAAACGTGCGCGGGAAACCAAAATGTCACTTCATCCTCTGAACTGCCTCGGGGGCAAATATAATAATGACGCATACAGGCGATGACGTCATTCCAAAAAGGAAGCCACGCGTCAGTGGCTCTACAACGTCATATATTTCACCTCATTCATATTGCCGCCCCTGGTCGAGGTCAAATTTTCCTAAGCCGAGGTTCGCATTTCCGCCCATCGAAGACGCCCACCGAATGCGTCTCCAACGAGCGGAGGGACTAACTGTATGGGGTCAAATTTGATCGTCAGCATCCCTACGCCAGAGGGTACGCCCAGTGAGTGTACGCCGACTAACGTAGCGGGTACAACTCGGACGCAGGGACAAAAGCGACATCGTTTAGGACTCAGTGTCTTCACTAGGGAGACGTTACCTGTCTTTGTAACTTTTTGATTCTTTCGAGGAAGGTCTCTTATTATATAAAAGAGACCTTCACATTGTAAAAAGGGGATTCTGATCTAATACAACTCTCTCATTTTCTGTCTGTCTCTCTCTATCTCTACCTCAAACGAACATATCTTGTTAAGTTCATATTATCACTTTGCAATACTAGATCTACAACAATGATATCATCTTTGCATCTCTAGGTTTATTATATTTGATTACGATTTACCCCTTTTCTTACTTTTGATTGTTTTCTAGCTTACAAAGTATATTGCTAACTTTTGAGCCAAACAACTCCTTAAACGTTCGAATAAATAAATGAGAGAAATAATGTATATAACTATACACAAAAACCAAAAAATAATGTATATAAATATATTAGGTCTGGAAACAAAGTTTGAAGCTAAAATAAAGTGTAAAGATACTGTTAGTGGTTTGAGGCCTTTCGACAAAACCCATGCGAATTTGACCCCAAACAGATAATATCACACGATATTAAGAATATTTTGCGGCCGAGCCCAATTAAATATAAAGTTGTCTCTCTTTTTCAAACTGTTCATCCATTGCTTACCAAGAGGATCTGCATTGTATCAAGTCTGAGTAGTTTCTGTTAGGTTGATGATATTATAATTTTGCATGTGACTCTGTTCTTCCCCATTGGCCTATAAGTTTCAAAGTGACTGACAAAGATACATACAGCTAAGTCTTTGGAGTAGCTCAGAAGCAAAAATCAAAGGCTATTCCCACTCAAACCTAAAGCAAGAATTGCATATCATTCTTGTTCTTTTCGCAAAGCAACATATTCAACATATATTCATACACAATATATATATTAATATTTATACATGCAGAAACTCACTCATATATATATAGCACCTTGTCCTAGTTCTTTCTCTACTCACAGATCAAAGCTTCCTTTTTTTACTTAAATTAAGTGATATTACATTTAAGATAGCCAAGAATATGGACTGGATTTCCTCTGAGACTTCTTTGAGTACTCGCGATGGCGTTTCTAGCCAGATTGGATTGCTGTGGCAGCAAGTTAGAGCTCCATTGCTTGTGCCATTTCTCAGAATTATGGTTGTCTTGTGCTTGGTCATGTCTTTGATGTTATTTTTGGAGAGAGTTTATATGGGAATTGTCATAGCTTTTATCAAGGTGCTGAGGCGAAAACCGGAAAAGAAATACAAATGGGAGCCAGTAAAAGATGATTTGGAGCTAGCAAATTATTCTTATCCTATGGTATTAGTGCAAATACCAATGTACAATGAAAGAGAGGTACTCTTTTTCAATATCTCTTTTAATAGTGTATTTTCTGATATATGGCTTGCTCTGAGTATAATGAGATTTTTGAATATTTAATTTATATAGTTGTGGGAGCAGCCACTAATGTTTGCATTAGGGTAGACTGTCTACGTCACACCCCTTTTGGTGCGCCCTTTCCCCGGGCCCTGCATGAACGCATGATGCCTTGTGCACCAGGCTGCCTATACAGTACTAACGTAAAGACTTATTATATTATCATTGTATTTTAACATGTTGTAGCAAGTGGCGTGTAGTTATGTTTTTAACGACCTGATAGTGTAAAAATTTATTTATGTTATCAAAGTTAAACTTCTTTTGTTCTTTTGCAGGTATATCAGTTGTCTATTGGAGCTGCTTGTAACCTTTCATGGCCAGCTGATAGAATCCTTATTCAAGTTCTTGATGATTCAACTGATCCTACTATTAAGGTCCAACATACCTTAAATTTCTACTTTTAGGAAAAAGAAGATGCACAAATGACTATCATCTTTTTCTACTATAATTTGAAATGATTCTTTTAATTAAAGAGTGAACTCCTAGTAGTAGTACACCTAAATCTAGCATAGGCTTCTAAAAGTGATCCTTTTTTTAGTTAAGGTTAAGAAATATTTACATAATTGTATCACTTATAAAGTTAGAACACGTAAAATTTCAACAAAAAACCTTAGTTGGTAACCTGATAAAAATAGTACTTCATTAGTACCGTACTATCACACGTTAAATTATGCTAATAGTGTAGAAAATTTTACATTGCCGGTATATATAACTTAAATTCTCTTGGTTTTGGTAAAGGGAGAGAGTTTAATTGCTAAATTTTTCCTATTAAAACAACAGGCTATGGTGGAACAAGAGTGCAGGAGATGGGCAGGAAAAGGAGTGAACATAAAGTATGAGATAAGAGACAACAGGAAAGGGTACAAAGCTGGGGCACTGAAGGAAGGAATGAAGCACAATTATGTGAAGATGTGTGACTATGTAGCCATATTTGATGCTGATTTTCAGCCTGACTCTGATTTCTTGATGCGAACTATCCCTTTTCTTGTACACAATCCTGAAGTTGGACTCGTTCAAGCTCGTTGGAAATTCGGTATATGCCTTCCCTTTAACACGCCGCCCCTCACGTCTGGACATGACTATTTACGTTGAAAATACATTTCGCTTTTTTGGCTGGCATTGAAATTTGAACCCAGTTAGTAGCATGTTTGGTTAAAAGTGCTTTTTTTTTTTTTTTTTTTGCCAAAAATTGAGGTGTTTGGCCAAGCTTTTGGAAGGAAAAAAAGTGCTTTTGAGGAGAAACAGAAGTAGTTTTGGAGAAGCAGAAAAAAGTAGCTTCTCTCCAAAAGCACTTTTGAGAAAAATACACTTAGAAGCAGTTTTTTAAAGCTTGGCCAAACACTAATTGCTGCTCAGAAGTGTTTTTCAAACTAATTAGTCAAACACAAACTGCTTCTCACCAAAAGTACTTTTGAGAAAAGCACTTTTGAAAAAAAGCACTTCTCAAAATAAGCTGATTTTTGCGGCTTGGCCAAACGGGCTATAGGATCCGTTTGTCCGTAAAATAAAAAAATTCAATTTTTTTTAGAAAAATATTTTGTGCATGAAATTTTACAAGTTTTTGAAAAAAATTCGAAAATGAGTTTTTCAACAACCAAAAAGTGGTTTTGACCACATTTTCCAAATAATTCTCCTCACTCACGTAACTGCAATATTTTTCAAGTGAAATCCATGTCCAAACATAATTCCAAATTTTAAATATTATTTTTTAGCTTAACTCCACATACTACTTTTTTTCCAAAAATTATAATTTTTATGTCCAAACGCCTACTTAATCTTGCTCTAATATCTTGGATGCGTGAGATNGTCTGAATCAACTTTGAAATTCTCAAAATTCAATTCCTACCACACGTACAAGTCATAACACATGAAGTTAAGCAACTCAAGACCTCAAGCCACCGAACGACTCGCTAGAGCTCAAAATGACCGGTCAGGTTATTATAGAAATATAGGAGGAAAAGGACTGAATGGTCAAAAGATAGGAGTGATATTAACATGGGTGATGCAGGAGTTGATATTGGCTTTGATGAACTAAGGACCGGTAGCAGCAAAATAGGTACACATGCTTAGTAAGGACAGATGAGCCTTATTTTGGGTCTTCTGATGCTGAAAACTTTCCTTTAGATGCTGAAGATGAATTTGATGAAGAACATAAGGAGAAAATGGCTGCCAAGAGGAGAAAAAATACATGATATTTGATCCAACTATCAAGAAAATAACCTGGTTGGGGCTGATTTTTTAGAGTGTTGATGATTTTAGGTTGGTTGTTACTAAGTATGTAATTCAAAAAGGAGTTCAAATTGAGAAGTATATTAATGAAACTAGTAGCGTGAGGGTAAAATGCATGCACCCAAAATGTCTATGGTTGTTGGCTGCTAGCAAAGATGGCAAATCCAATAATTTTAAAGATAAAAAAAATAATAGTCATGTCCATAAGTATTACATGAAAAACAAAAACAAGCTTTAGCAACTCTAGATATCTTGCAAAGCATTACACGAATAAGATTAGTGTCTCAACCAAAATATGAAAAGTTTGGGAGCTAAA